CATCACCTCCGTGGTGTCCCCGGTGTCCCCCCTCTGTCCCCGCTGTCCCCGGTGTCCCCCCGCTCTCTCCGCTGTCCCCCCCGTGTCCCCGCTGTCCCCCCCGGTGTCCCCGGGACAGCCCCGGCCGGATCCCGAGCCGGTTTCTCCCGGAGCTCCGGCTGGGATGGATTTTTCCTTTGGGAGCCGTTCCCGCCCCGCGGGCGGGAGGCGAAAACAACAAAAACAACAAACCAACAACAAAAAAACACCTTAAAAACGGCGATTTCGGGATCGTTCAAATCCCGTCCCGGCCTCCATCCCAGAAATCCTCGGGATTCCATGGAGTCAGATGGGATCCCGAGGATTTTCCGGGGGCTTTGTGAAGCCGGGATGATTTAATTAATGAACAATTAACAATTAACAGGCGGCGGCCGGACGGGGAAGCGGGGGGGGGACCCGGTGACCCCAAATCCGTCCCCGCCGCGTATTCCAGAGGGTCCCAGCCTTTGGAATGATCCCGTGGGATGATTCCTTGTTTTTCCCCGGATCCTGGCAGACAATGGGGCCGGAGGGAGCAGCCTGGAGGTGGCGGATCCGGATTAATTTGGGATTTGGGATGAGTTTTCCGGAGGTTTTTATGGATTTATTGTCCGGCTGCGACGCTGGGAAAGGGATTTGGGAATTCCCGGCTCGGAATTCCGGTCATCGCCGCTCCCCCGAATCCGAGGAATTCCCTGGATGTGGATGGAAATATCCCGGCGTTCCTCGATCCCTGCGCCGCTTTCCCGGGATCCAGGAATGATGGATTGAGGAGATCCCAAAGGATCGGGAGCTGATGGAGAGGAGTTTTCATGGATCCACAGCCCCGATCCCGGCTGATCCCGGGCGTCCTTCCGGGCAGGAATTGGGATTTGGGGCTTTCTCCCGGAGAAAACGTCGGAATTCCCAGTGGGGGTTTCCGGGATCGGCCTTCCCAAATCCCACGGAGACGCCTGGAAGCGACTCTGGGGTTGTTGGAAGGGACGGGGAGATGGGATTTGGGATTTCTCCAGGGAATCCTGAGCGTTCCCCGGGAACTTGGGATGGGGGGATTTAGGGAATTAGTGGGAATTCCCGAATCCTGGAATTTTTGCCGGGAACTCAGGATTCCAGGATCCTCCAGCTCTGCCAGGATTGGATATTTGGGATGATTTTCCCATGGAAAAAATGTTGGGAAGCATCGGAAGAGGCTCAGGGAAGGTTGGATCCCCATCCATGGACGCGTCCCAGGAATTCCTGGAATTCTGGAAGTCGATCCATCCCAGCCTGGACTCGGTGACCTCGGACAATCCCGGGATCCTGGGTTTGGAAGCACATCCCGGATTCCCGGCTGGATCCCGGGGTTGGATTCTCCCGGAAAAGGAGCCTTGGGATTCTCCCACCTCATTCCCAATTCCTCCAGGACGGGAATCCCGGATCCTTCATCCGCCGGATTCTCCCTCTCCGAGTGGGATTTTTTTTCCCAGGGAAACTCATTCCCGGCTTTCCCAGAACCCCGGATCCGCCTGGACAGGGACGGAAGGAGCGGAATTTCCTCTTGGAATTCTCTGGAGCCATTGGGAAGAACCTTTCCCACCCGGAAACGCTCGGATTTATTCCTTATTTTTAACCATTTTCCCTTTTTATTTTTTCGGGGAATATTTGAATCCCAAACGTTGGATTTGGGGTTCGGGGCTTCGATCCCGAGCCCCCATCCCAGGAAAAATTCCAGCCTGGACTTGAAGATGTTGGGAATGGCGAAGCCTCCCCGGCCCTGGGGGGATTTTTTGGGAGCTTTGATCATCCCGGGGATTAAAAAAACGGGAATTTTCCTCCTCCTCTTTTGCATCCGGCTCTGGCTCCCGGCGTCTCCCGGAGCCCGGGAATCCATTCCCGACTTTTCCAGGGCGGCGGAACCGGCTCTGCTGGGAAAGATTCCAAGAAAAATCCCTTTTTTTTTCCCCCCCCGCTGCTGGAAGGAGGGAGGACGAGGAGCTCCCGGATTCCTGCTGGAATTCCCGAATTCCCTTTGGAAAACCGGGATGATTTTTCCGGGAACCTCACGGATTCCTGGAAAATCCCGGATTTATCTCAGCTGGGGCTGAGACACCTCGGGATAGCTGGAAAATCCAGGGATTCACGGAAAACCCCAGGATTTCTGGAGAATCCCAAATTTACTTCAGCTGGGATTCCTGGAAAACTCAGGCATCCGTGGAAAATCCCGAATTTATCCCAGCCCGTCGTCCAGGACCGGGATTCCCAAAAAATTTTGGGGGTTCCGGGGGCGGGGTGTCCGACCCACAGCCATGCGGCGCTTCCAGGGAATTCCCGGGATCCCGGAATTCCCAGGATCCAGGAGTTCCCGGGATTCGGGAATCGGCGGGATTCGGGGATTGGTGGAAATCTGGGGAAAGCTCCTGAATTCCTGGTTTTTGGCCGGGATCTGGGAATTGGTGGGATCCTGGAATTGCTGGGATTCGGGGATTGGCGGGAATTTGGGAAAAGCTCACGAGATTCCTGGGTTTTCACTGAGATCCGGGAATTGTCAGGAATTTGGGAGCAGCTCCCCCATTCCCGGTTTCTGGCTGTGATCTGGGATTTCTCGGGATCCGTGAATTCTCAGGAATTTGGCAATTCTCTGGAATCTGGGAATTGTCAGAAATTTTGGAAGTCTCAGAAATTTGGGAATTGTCGGGAATTTGGGAATTCTCTGGAATTCGGGAGCAGCTCCCCCATTCCCGGTTTTTGATGGAGATCCGGGAATTCCCGGGAATTTGGGAATTCCCTGGAATTCGGGAGCAGCTCCCTCCTTCCTGGTTTTCGACGGAGATTCGGGAATTAGGGAATTCTCTGGGATCCGGGATCAGCTCCCCCATGCCCGGTTTTTGATGGAGATCCGGGAATTCCCGGGAATTTGGGAATTGTCGGGGATCCGGGATCAGCTCCCCCATTCCCGGTTTTGTCTCCCCAGCTCCAGGGCGGCCCCCCCGTGCCGTGACCCCCCCATGCCCGGCCCGTGGCCGATGCCGGCCCCTCCGGAGGCTCCGGATGCTCCAGAGGCTTCGCTGAGCGCCGCGACGGAGCCGCCGCCGCCGCCGCCGCCCGGTGAGGCCCGCTCCTACTGGGGAAACTGGGATCTACTGGGATCTACTGGGACGGGACCCGGCCCTTACTGGGATCTACTGGGGCGGGATCCAGCCATCACTGGGAAAACTGGGATCTACTGGGATCTACTGGGATGGGATCCGGCCCTTGCTGGGATCTACTGGGGCGGGATCCGGCCCTTACTGGGATCTACTGGGGCGGGATCCGGCCCTTACTGGGGAAACTGGGATCTACTGGGGCGGGATCCAGCCCTTACTGGGGAAACGGGGATGTACTGGGATCTACTGGGATGGGATCCAGCCATCACTGGGGAAACTGGGATCTACTGGGACGGGACCCAGCCCTTACTGGGATATACTGGGACGGGACCCAGCCCTTTACTGGGATATACTGGGACGGGACCCAGCCCTTTACTGGGATCTACTGGGACGGGATCCAGCCCTTACTGGGATATACTGGGACAGGACCCAGCCCTTTACTGGGATATACTGGGACAGGACCCAGCCCTTTACTGGGATATACTGGGACGGGACCCAGCCCTTTACTGGGATATACTGGGACGGGACCCAGCCCTTTACTGGGATATACTGGGACGGGACCCAGCCCTTACTGGGACGCACTGGGACCCCCGGAGCGTCCCGGCCCCGTTCCCATCTCCCGGCCAACGCCGGCAGCGGGGAAAGGCCTCGGTTTCCATGGAGATCCGTGCGGGATCATCCGGAATTCCGGACAAAGGAATTCCCGCCCCCCCTTCCCTTCCCCCTTTTCCTCCTTGACCCCTTCTCCCGCTTTCCCGAGGCCTTGGAAAAGGGGCCGAAGGAATTTTTTCGGGGGGGGGGAGATTCGGTGGGAATGGGATTTCCATGGAAACCTGGGAAGGCTCCCGGAGGCAGCCGGGGCCTCCCCAAACTGGGGGGTTGATTGGGGGGGGGTCCAGATTCCCCCAAAACCTTGGGAAAAGGGATTTGGGATTTGGCAGGATCATCCATACTGGGCCATCCTGGGCCATCCTGGGCTGTTCTGGGCCATACTGGGCCATACTGGGTTATACTGGGCTGTTCTGGGCCATACTGGTCTATACTGGGCTATACTGGGCCATCCTGGGCCATCCTGGGCCATACTGGGCCGTTCTAGGCCATACTGGGGGGCCATTCTCCATATTGGGCCATACTGGGCTGTTCTAGGCCATCCTGGGCCATTCTGGGCTGTTCTAGGCCATCCTGGGTCATTCTGGGCCATACTGCTCCATTCTAGGCCATACTGGGCCATACTGGGCCATCCTGGGCTGTTCTGGGCCATACTGGGCCGTTCTAGGCCATCCTGGGCCATCCTGGGCCATCCTGGGCCATCCTGGGCCATCCTGGGCCATCCTGGGCCATCCTGGGCCATCCTGGGCCATCCTGGGCCATCCTGGGCCATCCTGGGCCATCCTGGGCCATCCTGGGCCATCCTGGGCCATCCTGGGCCATCCTGGGCCATCCTGGGCCATCCTGGGCCATCCTGGGCCATCCTGGGCCATCCTGGGCCATCCTGGGCCATCCTGGGCCATCCTGGGCCATCCTGGGCCATTCTGGGCTGTTCTGGGCCATACTGGGCAATACTGGGCTGTTCTAGGCCATTCTGGGCCATCCTGGGCCATTTTAGGCCATTCTAGGCCATACTGGGCCAAACTGGGCCGTTCTAGGCCATCCTGGGCCATCCTGGGCCATTCTGGGCTGTTCTAGGCCATACTGGGTCATTCTGGGCCATCCTGGGCCATTCTGGGCTGTTCTAGGCCATACTGGGCTATACTGGGCCATACTGGGCCGTACTGGGCCAGCCCCGGTGACGCTCCGGCGTGTCCCCCCAGGTGGGCGCGTCCTTTTCTCCTGAGCCAGGGCCACCCCAAGGTGACAAAATTGAGCCCCTCAAGGTCACGGTCGATCTCCTGAAGGTGCCCCTGGGCCTGAAGAAACCCCCCCTGAAGGAGGCCCTGGCCGCTCTCCCGGGAAAACCCAAATCCCACATCCTGGAGCGCCACAAATCCCGGCGTTCCGACGCCATGGATAACGAGTCGCAGTATTCCGGCTATTCCTACAAATCCGGCCATTCCCGCAGCTCCCGCAAGCACAGGTGAGAGATCCCGGGATTCCCCGGGGGGCGTCCCCCGTCCCGCTGCGTGTCCCCATCCCGCTTTTCCCGCTGCTCTTCCCGCTTCT